TAAATTGTGGTAGAATGCACAGAACATGAACTTTACTGTCTTAACCATTTTTAAGTGTACATTTCATTAGAGTTAAATATATTCACTTAGTTATGCAACCATCTCCAGTATTTTTCATCTTGCAAAATTGAAACTATTACCCATTAAATAACAACTCTTTCCCCTTTCCCCAGCCTCTGGAAACCACCATTCTATTGTGTTTTGTTTTGTTTTGTCTGTGGTGCATGGGCTCAAACACAGGACCTCCAGCATGCTAGGCATGCTACACTCCTTTGCTACATAGTCCAGTCTTTTACTTTCTATTTCTATGGGTTTGACTACTTTATTTATTTATTTATTTATTTATTTATTTATTTAAAGACAGAGTGAGAGAGAGAGAGAAAAAGAGAATTTTAATATTTATTTTTTAGTATTTGGCAGACACAACATCTTTGTTTGTATGTGGTGCTGAGGATCGAATCCGGGCCGCAAGCATGCCAGGCGAGCATGCTAGGGCTTGAGCCACATCCCCAGCCCCCACTACTTTAGATTATTTATTTTTAAAGCCCTTGTTTTTCAAGAACCAATAAACAATTGATATTTTAAAACATTAAATATTTTTCTACAACTAAGTTTAATGTTCTATTCTATAAATAATATAGAATTAATTTAATCAATGCCCTACTGATGAGCATTTAGATTGTTTATTTTTGCCTTTATAACAACATTACATTCAAAATTAGCAAAAATGGGCGTGGTAGCACATGTGCATAATCCCAAGGATTTGGGAAGCTGAGCCAGGAGGGAAAGTTCAAGGCCAGCCTCAACAATTTATCAAGCCCCTGAGCAACTTAAGGGAGACTTGTTTCAAAATAAAAAATAAAAAGGGCTGAGGATGTGGCTCAGTGGTTAAGTATCCCTGGGTTCAATCCCTATTTAAAATAAAAATCACAGATATAAATCCTTACATCCATAATTCTTTTTCTTTTTTTTAAAGATTTATTTTTTAGTTGTAATTGGATATAGTACCATTAATTATTTATTTATTTTTATGTAGTGCTAGGAATCAAACCCAGTGCCTCACAAGTATGAGGCAAGCAGTCTACTGCTAAGCTACAATCCAGCTCCAAGAAGGTATTTTTTTTTTTTAGAGATAATTTTTAATATTTATTTTTTAGTTCTCGGCAGACACAACATCTTTGTTGGTATGTGGTGCTGAGGATTGAACCCGGGCGGCATGCATGCCAGGCCAGCGCGCTACCGCTTGAGCCACATCCCCAGCCCCAAGAAGGTATTTTTTAATAGCATAAAAGAGAAGGGGAGAGAAAATAGTTTCTATAGCTGCTGAGGCAGGGAGATGGCAAGTTGGTGACCAGCCTGGTCAACTTAGTGAGACCCTATCTCAAAAACAATTAGAAAGGTCTGGGTTGTAGCTTAGTGGTAGAGCACTTGTCTAGCATGTGCAAGCCCCTGGCTCTAATCCCCAGTACCACACATATGAAAATGAAAGAAAGGAAGAAAGGGAGGGAGGGAGGAAGGGAGGGAGAAAGACTGAGTTAGGTCCTTAGGCCAAAGTAACTCCATTTTGAAAATCAGCACCTGTCCACCCAGGCATGACTTTCAGGTTAGGCCCACCCCCAAAGAGTCCCTAATTACTGAAACCACAATAAAGTAACAATCACAGGACCAGATGGGTTATTTTTTTAACTACTCCATTGTACATGACTATATAGTTAAGAATTTTTTTTCCAGCATGTTGCTGAGCCTTGCAGAAGGGCAGCCTGGCGGATATTCTCTGTCAATAAACTTTTTCTTGAACTCAGAGATGTGTATCACATGGATAAAAGAAAGAAAGAAAAGATAATTTTATGTGCTAAACCATGTTATCCAAAGTGGTAATAACTAGGATCACAAGTTGGAAGCTGTTTTAGCAACCTACTGAAAATAAAAAATAAAAAGGGGTGGGGATGTGGCTCAATGATATGACCAAAAAAAAAAAAAGAAAAGAAAAAACAAGAAGAAAAAGTAAAGGAAAAAAAAGCTAGTTTGACTAAGGGACTGAAATTTTAGAGTCATCCTTTTTATTTCAATTAAAAAAAATTTATTGAGTTATTGAGCTATATATTTAACCTCATTCATTATATCCATTTCAGATGTACAATTTTTTTTAAAAAGTAACTTTACTATTACAACCATCACCAAAATCATTTTTAGTACATTTTAATCTCTCATTTTAATTCCTTTAAATTTTTTAAATCTAAAAACAACATTGATTTAATCATTGGAAACATTTACTCATATTGGCTTAATAAAGCTTCCTTTTGTTTTTGAAGACTTTGAAAAGATGGGGCCTTAGTGACCTCCGCTCTAGTGCTTGAATGCCAAATAATTCCAATGTGCACTGCCATGCAGTTTAACTTTGTTTATGATATTATTTTCTTTACATTCCCCATACTTGGTATTCTTTAACACCTATTATGATATCTTTACCACTCCCCCAAAGGGGTGGTAGTCAGAGCTCTTTGGACAATGAGAAAGTGAGCAGGGGAGTATTCTCTGGGGCCTGAGATCTGAATATAAATTGAGATGACAAGAAAGCAGTATGTGGGAGGGCTGTGGACTGATTAATAATAGAGAATAAATCATCTTATTGGAAATCTTTCTCAGATGTTCAGCAAATTCTCCAAACCCTTTTAAAAAAGTCCTTATGTAAATTTTATAATGGCTAGTCACATAAAAGATAATTGCTTTGTAAAATATAATTTCATATTTGAAAAGATATGGGCCAAAGAGTTTGCAAAGTATTTTTATAACATTTAAATGTTTGCTCAAAAGGTCAGTCTCTAGCATAATAATAAAATAAGGTCTAATCATGAAATGTAAGATTAAGATTCATCAACTAAAAAGCATTTTGCAAGCTATGAAAGAGTAGCTTAATGAAAAATTATCAGAGGATGAAATCTTGTACTTCAGAGCCAGAAGGAGAACAGATGGCAAAAGTGTTAAAGAGGGCTTAGTCTGCAAGAAGCCAGATTTAGATCATTGCTGGGATGAAAAATAGAAGAAAAGTAAGGGATACAAAGGAGTAGTTGGAGAAAAACTTTCAGTATGAAAGGAAAAAAAGAAATTAAGGAAATAAGAAATAAGAAGTCTTTTGAACAAAATCAGTTATTTTTCATACTTTTCCTTCTAAGAGGCTAGAAATTTATATTACATAGGTCTCAAAACACTCTATAATTATTTTTAGTAAGACTTACAATTTATTATAGATACTTACTCATTATTCAATTACTATTTGACTGTTTTGAAGAATGAGGACATGTCTGTTGTTCACTTTCACGTACTTGTAGCCTGGCATGGTACTTAGCACAAACTTATTATATAAAGGATATA